CTGCTGAGCTTTTTTAGTATTATTTTAACCTACAGCTATAAATTTGCTCAAAGGGCTCTGCTGTATATCAGCTTCACTTTACATATTCACCTAGCACTAATTCTATTAGTGCATTACAGCACTGAAAGACAACTCCCATCAAACACACCTTGATATTTGTACCACAGACGCTGAACGAGCTCACATATGCCCATGATCCCAAAAGGGCTGTCCACAAAAGGCTCCAGCAGATAAACATGTAGAATTTACCAGGCTTAAAATCAAACATGTGTCTAGCTGCTGCATCCCTGTAAAATGCTCCAATTACATAAGCTTTTGTCCAGATGTGGCTCTGGGCTCTTCCCACGACCTAAAATCTGCTGAACACACCTTAGTGAAGCTTTCAGAAAGGTAATAATTTAAAATATCAAATCATCATAACACCCAATTCCTTGTGTTCTTGGATTTTCTCTTTGGCTCTGATACCCTTTTAAAAGGGGTCATCACCCACCTTCGGGCTGAACATTTAGTATTGGTTTTGTGCCACAGGAACAGCTTGTAGATCCCGATTTTGTCTCCAGATGAATCTTCTAAAAGCGAACAATTTCCTAATGAAAAACCCAAGGTTCTCTCCTCTTTTGACCTCTCTTTCAAGGACACAAAGTGTATCTGCCAAGACTTTCAGAAAGGTAATCCTCCCTCACAGAAAAGAAACCCTGGCTACCTGGCTGTCCCAACCCATATATCTGACACTCAGAATATTGCAAATATGTTTGGAAACCATCTTCTCTGTCCCGTCTTTGAAATGTCCTGTTTTACCAATGCTTCACTTTTATCCTGGCAAAGGATATACTCTTGGCTTCCACGTGCCAAATCTAGTTCTGACTGCACTCTGGGTGCACGTAACTATGAGCAGCTGAGGGAAAACTGAGCCAGAAGCGGGCTCCACTGCTCTGCTTACCAGATAGAGCTAGCATATATCACAGGGGCAACATAATTTCTTCCGTATGCAAGATTTTGCCTGCAGTTGGTTGAATCCACTGCATTTTAAAGATATTTAGAGTGCGTATTTTACAACGACAGACTTAGTTTATGTGACTGAATGTGTATCATTATAAATTATTTCCCCTTAGTAATTCTGAGGGCTACCCAACACATTATAGCCTCTGCTAGCCCTCTCTCAAATAAATAAATAAATAAAAATTAAAAAGGAAGCCTTTCTCCTCTATATATCATGAAAAAAGCAGCAACTTTTTTCTTCTACAGCTTTTTCTTTTTTATTAAATTCAAACTTCCCTCAACCTTGGAGATACACTCACCAGAACCTAACCCCTTTTTTCCCCTCCTTTTCTATCATTCTCATGAAGCTAGAGTGAAAGTCACTACCTAGATACACTAGAATTTGAGAAAGCAAGATTAAAAAGTCAATAGCCGACACAAGCATTAAAGAGCTGTTTCACTGCCAGGCTTACTATTTGAACATTGACCTAAGCTAACAACATCAGATCCAGACCTGCTGTTTTGCATTTGTGCTCAACTAAGCTCTAAAATATCCCTCCCTCACCCAGGCCTCACTACTGTTTCTGAGAAGCCATATGAAAAATGAAATAAAATAATGAAAATCTATCAGCAAAAGTTTAGACCTTATCCTCCTCCCTTTATTAATCTAGATCTAGGTGGTTTAGCATCACATGGTACCAAGACCCCCTACCCCCAAAACAGATAAACAGGCAGGAACTGCTCCAAGATGCCTTTTGCTCACAGAGTACCTATGTACAGCACCTACGCAGACTTCTAATATAACTTCATGGACACCTGGCTGCACCCATATGGACAGAGGAAGAATCCCATAACCAGTAGCGACTATTCCTTCATGTAACAATAAGACTCTCATTCACCCAAAAGGTTTTAATAATTATCCAACATTCATTTTATCCAAAAACCATGTAGCTTCGTTGTGCACTGTCACACATCCATCTCATTTCACCCCAGAGGTGGATACGTTTCTTGAGTATAGCTCAGACTGCTTCATGCTCTCTTTCAGTAAAGGTGCCAGAGAAATGCGAGCTATTATTAGCCTGGACAGTGCCAACCACTAGCAGTTAAGGCTAGCGCTTTTTGCCTGTCAGAACAAGGGCCTCCCTCTAGCACACCATAACACTGCATCAGTCTTAACACCAAAGCAATATACTCAGCCATCACACTGCCAGAAAAAAATTCAGTATGACGACCATTCAAAGAGCTCACAGGTTTTGCTGCGACCTAAAGCATACCCACTAGCAGCACTAAAGTCACACAGGGCTGTCTCATTAAAAGTGGGATGATCTCAGAAACATCAACAAGCAGACAACTGCTAGTAAGCACAAACTGAAGGATAGCTGGATTCTGCCAGGTGGCTCTGAAGCAGCTGCTTAGGGTAGGACTCAGGCTGCAGATGATGGCAACTGGAAGTAGCTAGCATGCCTTGCAGCCTGAAAAGATGCTTTCTGGGGAAATGCCTCTGAGCGTGCAGTTCAGCCCACCAAAGGCATGAACAATAATCCATAGGAGCAGCGAGGTCTTCAAAGCGAAAGGACATAAGGAGGAGCCTAAGACAAGTTCTTGTTGTTTGCTGCATTGCTCTGCTAGCAGCCCTACAAGACGGTCTGTGCAGAAAAACTCTGCACGTTTCATCATTTAGTTTTTGTTTTGTTTTAGAAAAGGTTTGTCATTTTAGAAAAGGTTTGATTTCCAAAAGGCTCACAAGCTAGTCAACCCAGTTTTTAAGATCTGGAATGCTCATTTAGTGCCACATACTCCTTTTTGTCATATAAGCTGTCATAGGCCAACTTATTCCATTCCCACACAAAGCACTTCACAAAGAGCTTATAGTAGCATTATCCCCACGTAACAGCTAGACAAACTGAAGATCAGATTACTGATCCAATTTTCAGGGGAGCTGAGAAGGTACATTGTTGAAGTAACATAGACAGAACACTGAAACACAAACTCTGAGGAGGAGAAATCCAACAAGAACACACAGTACTTTTATAGGACTATTTCATCCATT